GCCTATTATAACTACACAGCTGCAGCACTGGAGCTATTAACATCATCTAGAGTGAAGAGTCTCTCTCTCTCTCTCTCTCTCTCTCTCTCTCTCTCTCTCTCACTCACACACACGCACACACACACACAATAACAGAACCACAACCACGAGAATATGTTAGAGATGGACTGAAGAAACTCTTACCCTACATGTCAACTGGTCCTGGAATGAAACAAAGGCCAACCTGATCTTAGGCACAGAAGTTCAGACAGAAGAAAAACCCGTGTGGAGGTCGTGTGGAGGTCCTGTACAGGGCCTGGCATGGATGTGGAGCAGTAGAAGGACGTCTGGCCAGAGAGGAAAGAGGGGACAGCTGAGGCCGGGTCACCTTCAGAGACAGGCATTTAGGTTTCTTCTAGAGAAAACAGAAACCATTAGAGGAAATGCCATCACTCTGTCTTTTTTATAAGATCACATTTGCACTTTTTCATTCCCTCAATGACATCTGTTAAAGTTCATCATTTAATCGCATCCAACTTACCCCTTTTTCTTTATTTTTAGCACTTTTGTGTCTTATGTAAGAAATCTCTCCCAACTCTTCGTTTAAGAAGATATTCTTCAGATTTCTTTCTACAGTGGAACAGTTAGACCTCACAGTTATGTCTAAAATACCCTGGAGCATCCTTTCTGCGTACAGAATGAGTAGTGTTCAAGCTTTTTTTCTCATCTCATCGGACCCCAGTCACATTAGAAACACCACTCTCTCCCCGCTGCTCCCTGACCTGTTTCCGAGAGCTCTACTCTATTCCATTCTGTCTTTACATCACTTTCACAGACTTCCTTCACAATGTTCAACGCTGCCAATTGACAGGTGGATGTAGCTAGCTATCAGTGTAATTCTCATACACTGTATTCTGCCTTCGCTTCCTCAGGGACAAGGGAATGGCTCTTTCTTTGGGGTGGGGTATTAGGGATCAAACTGAGGACCTTGTGCTTGTGTGAAGCACTCAAGCCTCCTTTATCAGAAAGCACTGATCTGGTTCACGAAATAGGAGCCCTATGGCTTATGACCTCCTAAATGTCCCATCTCTCAGTATAATCCCATGGGGATTAGATTTCAAAGCATGGATTTTGGAGGAACTCAGACACTCAGACAGAGCAATAAGAGAATCTTATGAAACTGCCAAAAAATATCAGCGAATATTTGTCAAAGTCTGAGGAGAAACTGACACCTACAAGATAGCTTTTAGCCCTAATAATTAACCCCATGGCTAAATTCTGATACAGAAAATGAAATATGAAAAACATTTTTTAAAAAGAAAATGAAATATGACAATATTTGTGTGACTATAACTTTCATCTGAAAATCATGAAAACTTTGGAAAGATATGACAATATGATGACACATTTTTTTTATCTCAGCTTGAAATACAAAATATCTGCCATATAGATTTTAAAAATTAAAACAAAAACAGAGACAAATGTACCATATGTGTGTACTCTTTTAAAATATCATACTCTACTAAGATACCAGATTCCAAGAAGATTCATATATTAATTGCATGTGTGTCCCTCCTCCTATGGAAACTTCAAGATATAATAAAGCTGAGCATAGTGGCACATGCCAGGAATCCCAGCACTCAGGAGGCCAAGCCAGGAGGATTCTTAAGAGTTTCAGGCCAGCCTGGGATACAGAGTAAATTTAAGGCCTAGCAGGACTACATGGCCAGACCCACTAAATGGAGGGGCGGGGAGGAGGAGGAGGAGGAAGAAGAGGAAGAAAGAAGAGGAAGAAAGAAGAAGAAGAAGAAGAAGAAGAAGAAGAAGAAGAAGAAGAAGAAGAAGAAGAAGAGGACAAAAAAAGAAGGAGGAGGAGGAGAAGGTGAAGAGGAGGGAGGGGGGACAGAAAGACAAAGGAGGAGGAGGAGGAGGAGGAGGAGAAGAAGAAGAAGAGGAAGAAGAGGAGGAAGAGGAAGAGGAAGAAGAAGAAAAGGAGGAAGAAGAAGAAGAAGAGGAAGAGGAGGAAGAAGAAGAAGACAATAAATAAATTATTTGCCTAAATTTTCTTTTTTTAAATTTTTTTTTCTGGTACCAGAGATCTAACTTGGGTCCTTGCACTTGTGCGGCAGGCGGCAGAACCAATAAACAAACTCTTTAAACAATTGATTGGACTTGGATTGACTGGACCTTTAAATTTTGTGTCAAGAGAGTAAGACTTTGGGCCTTAATTGTCTTATAAACTTAATACTTGTGTGGCTTTAAATAGGCATTTATCATTACTGACTTTTCATTTCCTCACCCATAAAATGGATAATAACCATTCATAAGGGATCATGATCAAACACTTTTGAAAAGGGTATTATAAATTACAGAAAAATAAAGTAAGAGCTTTTTAAAATAAAAATACAGCTATGGCATTTGTAAAATATCATAATTTAATGTAAAATGCTGTATTTGACCACAACAAGTTCTCTAATGTGTGTTTAGACATTTATCAGTGTGCAAAGTTTCTTCATACCTCAGGGTTATCATTTTAAAATATAGATATCATTCTAATAATAGTAGTAATAACCACTCTACAAATCTGATTTCCCAATAAAAACAGATTATGTATGCAAAGCTTTCAATACTAGTTAAATCAAAGAGATAGACTGAGGTACAATAATGGGATAATTTTTTGCAGGTTTAAGGTTAATAAGCAATTTATAGATGAAGAATGTTTTCTTTTAGTACCACATTCCCACGGCTGCTGGGCTGAAGATCCAAGTTCTCACCGCAGCTCCCAGGCTCGGAGGTTGGGCCTGCACCTGGTCTCCATGCTCCCCTCTCTCTGGTCGCCACACCTTCCCAGAGGATCTGCCTCTCAGCTTACTCTTCCTTCAGATCACAGCAGGTCCAGGAAAACTCTCCCCAAACTGCCTGATCTTCTGATTCTAAGTTCTCATAATGCCAAGCACAGATCCTTCATTACTCTAATAATAGGCAAACTCTGACATTTAAAAGCGCAATGACTTGGCAGCTCTCCTCGGACCAGGTCTTAATTTAAAATTTGGATATTTTGTCCATCAGAAGCTTTCTACTGATTTTAATATTTTAAAAAAATATTGAATTAAAATATTGCAAATTTTTATCCCTGAGTTTTATTTTTTGTTGACGACCAACAAGTCACCTCACTCATCCACGTGGCCCAGCACAATTAGCTTACAAATTCTAACCGCACATTGTCTAGGGCAGAAACACAAACCTGTGCAAAGTCAATTAAGTGCTCTAGATAGTTTTTGCTCTGAAAAAATTGGTTAGCAGCACACATAAATGATCAAAATGCAGTTTTTGAAAACTGGCTATCATGGCATTCGTGGAATTAATATGACTACAATTTCAGCAATCTGAAAAAATACTTGCAATGCACTGTCCTTTGTGGTCAATGTAAAAAAAAAAAACAGAAAATCTATTTCCTATATTTCATAATTGATATCCTAACTCATTTTAGAGAAATGAAATTTCCCTCGAGATGAAATCAGACAACAACAGATGAGTTTACTCATATTGGCTTATTTTGGGGGGCCATGGAGAGGGAAGGAAAGCTAAGACAAAATTGGGTCAAAAATAACGCGTGTCTGAGGTGGAGTGGGAAAGGTAAATTTAGATTTCTGAAGATGCCATCTCAAATTCTTTGCTAGGGTCACATTCTCACACGAGTAGAGTGAAAAGACAGAATCAGTGATAGGGGAGGGAGTCATAATCTAGTTTATCATGTGCATTGTTACAAAGGTTCCCGGAGTGATAAAACAAGGGTGTGGGTTAAAGAAAGGATCTTTTACTTAAACTATGTGTGTGTGTTTGTGTGTGTGTGTGTGTGTGTGTGTGTGTTTCCATTTTAAAGCCTTGGAAAGAATCTTCTGCTTAGAAGTCTTTTGGTCATTTAATTCATATTTCTTTTTGAAACACAAACATTAACATTTCTATCATACACATACACCTAAAGGAAGAAGCCTGGCTGAAATAAGATCCGAGAATTTACACGTCTCCTTCTAAAAAGGCTATGCAAGGTGCCACAGAGACCGAGACAGAATAAGTTGTTTTGTTTTTGTTTTTTAATACATTTGCCTTTGGAGTTTTGCTATGAACAGTATGTTCTAAGGCAAGCTGAAGGAAGCTTTACCTAGCTTCCGAAAGAGGGAAGAGCCATTCCGTTTGGTGGAGGAGACAGTGAATAATAAATAAATAAATATTTACATATCATCCCTGCTGTGAATGATTTGCTCTTTTCCAATCTCATAATTGAAATCGACTGAAAAGCAAACGGTGAAGGCCTGCTCTCTGATACGTGAATTGTACAAAAGCGTCAAGCTGAAATTTAAGAGGTTCTTAAACATTGATTTGGTTTTTGTTTCAATGGTGCAGGTGCCTTTACACGAACTACTAAATTTTACAAGCCCACAGCCGATTGTGAGCCCTGATTGACCGATGCTCCCAAGTAAGCTGTGTTTGTTACTCGTAAGGATAAGAGCGGTCACAGGCACCGGCCGGTGGGGAGCAGCAGTGCGAATTTACCTGAGACTAGGCGTAGTTCGAGACGGGAACGGATGTGGGGGGAGAGTGCAAAACATGTGAGTGTGTGTTCGCATAAACTTTTATCTCTAGTGCTGAAACACTTGAGTTTCATCAGTACATAAAAATTTAAATTTGGCTGCACACTTACACGGACTTGATCGTGTTTGGGACCCAAAAGCCGTGGCCCCAATGGCGGAGGCCCGAGGACCGCAGCGCCGGAGGAAGAGCCGCCCTCACCCGGGGAAAGGTGACCGGGAGTCTACCTGCGGGCAGGCGCC